CTCGTAAAGAGAATCCGCTGGCTTACCTGATTGCAGTCTTAAGAATACGCGCAAGCTCTGACTGATAGACGAAGTTGACGATGGTTTTACCTTGCATCCATGTCTTGAAGATGATCTAAATAATGATGTTAACTCACTCTACGTAGAAATAGTCGAGAAAAATCGAACGTACTACAAATACAAGATTTGTGGCCGAAAGCTGTTGAGGAAACAAAGACTTGAAAACCAGACTTGAGTCAAAGCTGAGAAACAACAGAAGGCAATCACAATTTCGAATGTGATTACAAACGTGTTTTACCCTCATTATCATGACAGATGGATACCACCTTAGGAAGTATAAGAGCTACCTAGATGATCACAGTGTACCAGTACCCAAATCAACGAGGTTGGACCGTAACAGGCGTTCAGCGACACGTTCCAACAAAGCCATCTCGATTCCTCAGTCTTTCGCTTCCACTGAGCTACAGCAGGCGGGCGGTGGCAACAGAATCTAGTGCGTCTCATAACAAAGAAACATTTGTACAAGAGAAGGAAGCGATTATAGGACGTTAGAACTCTTGCCTACAAATGAATGTGTACGTTCCGAACCGTTGACTCATGCTTATGATTATTATTATTATTACTATTATTATATTATGTATTATGATTTTGGCACATCTCCGGACATGAGACATTTTGCATCACAATATAAACCTTTATGACTGGAATCCAAGAGGCCTTCGAGGTTAGAAAGTAAATCTGTGATATGAGTACATTGGATTTAAATTGACAATTTGCACTTCATGTAACTGACAGCTGCTTAAGCCTCTAAAATTACTCCTTGTCTTAAAACCTTCACATTCAAGGTGTTGAGAATCTCTTGGAATTATTTGGACTTCGGGGTTATTTAATTTGCCTTAAATTCCATTCCCAGAAACTCCCAAGAATTCCACCCTTCCTAACTCAAAGGTAGTTTGCATAGCTGAGAATTCCTAGGAATTCTTAAGAATTCCAATCTTCACAAAACTGGAACCTTCCTTTCTCAGAAATTCCCAGTAATTCCAAGCTTTTCAAATCAGAGCTTGTTTGCTTAGTTTAAAATGTTTGAGAATTCCTTGGAATTCCTAGGAATTCCAAGTCCTCACAAAACTGTAACCTTCCTTTCCCAGAAATTCCCAGTAATTCCAAGCTTTTTATATCAGATTTACAATTGTACATTTAAAAACACAAATAAAGTTGCCATTATTATTATGACTTTAACCTTCTGTCGCTTGAACAAGGAAACGTGACTGTAACACGATCTATTTACCAGGAAATTCTGATGTGGTTAGGAGGAAGCTCGACATTACGGAGGTGACATAGTCTCCTGTGGACACAAAATTACTTGCGAACCTTTGTTAATCTCAATTATTATATATTGGAGGAAATTACCTGGGTTTGTGGAAATGATGGATTTTCCAGTGGGCAATGGGAAATGAAATGGACGGAGTCACAATATTTTGAAACAGTGTACTCGGATCGCATTTTGCAGCGGTTGTTTCAACCTTGGAAGCTTCCTGGCCACTAGTAGAATAACTAGTATAATCTGATGCCAAACGGGGGCATATGAAACCCGATTAAACAAAACAGTATTAATAACAACCCTCGGTCGTTTGGGCTCCACCAGTTCTGTGAGATTCTTAAATGAAATTGTGCTTTAATTATTTTGATCAAAAACTAAAGGCCTAGCCAAATGAGGAGACATGTCTAGAAGCTGTCTCCATATCGCGCGGAAACACGAAATGTAAGAATTCTTCTCGAAAGGCACCCTCGAAGGTGGGAAGTAGTCTAGAGAAATACTACTATTACCAGTACTATTTGACCTTCAGGGCTACTACTAGAACTTGTCTAGAAGCCCCCGAGTAAAAGCTAATAAATGAAGCTTCATTGCGTTGAATCTTTTGCAGTCAATCAGCGGGAAACCAGTTTGCCCATCATCGAATCCGATAGCCGAAATGCTTGTTAGACCGAATATCACGTTATTTACATTTCCTAAGAACTATATACCCGAAAAGAAACATACCATCCATTTTCAGCGTCAGGTTAGAAAGAGATGGAAAACTTTAGATCGCGAGCTTTGGATCTAGTACATTTCCTTAACAGCTCTTGAAGTTCTTGAGTGTCCACCCCGACTGACTCACGTGAAGCTACTTGACGTAATTTGGCGTCAAGCAGGGCACAATTGGTTTAAGATGCTGGGTCTTGTTGAACAGCCCTAGCTTTACACTTACCGTTCTGTTTTGTAGGTGTCAGCCAGATTATTAGCTATTACTTGGCGCAAAACAACGTATCCTACTAATAAACGAGAGATTCCAGCAGGTGGAAAATTTATGAAGTACTCGAAGTGCTCGCTGCTCGCCTTCTGTAGTTTCCAGAGTGCTCGCTGCTCTACATCTGTATTTTCTAAAGTGCTCGCTACTCCCAAGAAAAATTTGACAACTGCTCGTGCTCGCAAAAATAAACATACTGCTCGCATGCTCGCAAATGCTCGCAATTTGACGATTCCATGACCCGGTAAATATTATGTTCGAGTAACAATGCGTTCAAAAACTATAGTGTAATGGATGATTCTTTATTAAATTGTAGTTTTTCAGAATTTTCAACATAACGCTACGCAATTTCTGGCCGTAAAGTCAGGTAAACAACGATCTAAGCATGATGATATTTACTGCGTGGACTTTGTACACGTAAGACATTCGTACGTTTTTTGCTTGTAACAGCAAATCAAGAACTGTTTTGAATAAAACTGTCGTCCCGAAATATTTCTTGGTCATTTTCGTCTTGCTTCCTTTTGACAGATTCCATGAAACTCGAGATCTCTTCGCTTGCGGACAAATTTGCATATTCTTTTTGAAATATGACCCGCGTGCCTATTTCCACACAGACGAAAATATTTAGCGATGTTTATCTTTCATCATCATTTTTGAGTTAAAATTTGATACGCACCTATCGCTTAACCTCCTTACTTTGTTTTCTTTTTTCTCTTTCGGACACAATAATCATTTTCCTACATATATACATTCAAAAACAAAAGCATTGACGCCATAAATGAAACATACTCTGCAAGAGACAAAAGTGTATTCGGAGATTGGGCAAACCTTAACTCACGGATAAAAAACGTATAGTTTTAAACTCTTTAAAGATTATCATTGGCTTCTTTTTCACCCCAACACTATTCTTAGCAACAAAGACCGCCATTTCGTTTGTTTAGTACTCGCCAAAAACTATCAAATGCACTCAAAAGCTTAGAATGGAAAAAAAGTTTACAGGAGTCGACCAATCGAGCGAGCGAGCGAGTGCTATTCTTCATAACATATCTACACCTCCTCCTGAGCATGCGCGCAATTCACGAGTCAACAAGCGCCATGAGCTGTAGCCAGACGAAGAGCAACCTACCTGATTGGCGCGAACTGCATGTTGTTTCCAAATCTTTCCACACCGGCTTCTTTCCCTTTTCTTTATAGTTGACCAATTCCTTTATTATTATCTCCTGTCCACTTCTCAAGGTAGAAACGTTGTGAAACAAGGCTATAGTAGCCGTTAGGTCATTGAAATTTTCGCCGGAATCGTCACAGCGAAGCTCTATGGCGCGGCTGACCAGGCACTCTTGTTCCTCAAGACGATCCTTAATATCGCAATCCGGCCATTTCAAACACTTGACCCGCTTAGGTCCCGACACATGTATCGAAGAAAATATAATCCAAACACCAGGGTCTCTGATGGCCCAAGAGAATTGTTCATTAGCTCGGATGATTCTCCTGTTGATAAAGAAAGAGATTCCAACGTAACGTAATAATGCAAGTTGATTTAGTTATTTGCGTTTCTTAAATGCTTACAAAATAAAGCAATTTTACAATCGTTAAGATGTGTTTGCTTGCAATGACCTAGAGTTCTTTTTTGGCAGGGCCTTCCTTGAAACCCCATGAAAAAACTTCGTAGACTTTGTAGATGATCTGACAAATTATCGCAAATTTCGAATTATTTGTACATTTGTAGTTTTCGTAAGTATCGTGGGGGCTTTCCTTAATACCCTTGAATTAGTTTCCTAAATTTTGTCGATGGTCCCGCCAATTCTCGTAAAGTTCGCAGTTTCCGTAACTGCCTTCAATCCCGCTTACTACATAGAGTTTGTGTGGCTTATACGAGGTGTAAACCACACTATGTCATGACCTCAGAAATTTATTCCTGGCTGGCTGGCTGGCTGGCTGGCTGGATTTGTCACGGCGAACAGAGCGCTTGTCACGTGGTTTACTATCGTGGACGATAGGTTCAAGTCTTCCACTTGGCTAAGTTACGTGTTCTTCAAAGGTTTAGAATGCGGCAGTTTTGTATATATGAGTGGAACACGTTGTCGAAGATCGTTTTTTATCTAGTGAGTTGTTTATTTTTGTCGCAGAGATTTCACACGCGGCTTTCCTACAGTCGGCGTGTCTTCTAGGTGCGGATTACAGTGAGGAGTCTTTTATTTACAAACGCTGAAACAAGTTGTTGGACAATACAAAATGTGGAATGAAGTAGTGTTTTGGTTTACTGAATTTATGTACCGCTAGAGTTCACATAACTAAGCGGCGCGGTCACGTTTCACGTAAGTCTTTTACCAAAACGTTTTCATCCTGAATTCCTGTTCATACCACAAGTTTAGTAACATAATTCCTTGATCAGTCTTTTTAGCACATTATTAAATACAATTTTTTTTCCGATGAGTGAAAATAAGAATTTTTGTTGCCATTTGAAAATAAAACACTGCTGTTGTCTGGAAATTCTATGTGACTTGAGACCTTAACATTTCATGACTTCCTGTAAGCTTTGCAGTCTTCTATATTCTCTTCTTAGAAACCAATCAGATTTACACGAAGAAGATAAGCATTGATAGTTAAATTTGGCTGCAATACACGTGTATTAGGCCTTTATATGGAAGCCAAAATTTCTTGTTTCTATCATCTTTACCTCCTCTCAGGCTCATGTAAATACGTCATTAACAATTATTCCACGAGCGCGCGTTGGATATGAGATGATAGATAGCCAACGAGGCGCGTAGCGCCGAGTTGGCTATAATCATCTCATATCCAACAAGCGCGAGTGGAATAATTGTTTTATTAAAAACGTTAAATAAAATTATTAAATTTTCTAAATTTTTAGCTCCCTTTTAATTTTAAGCTGACACATACGCTTACCATATTTGTAGATTATGGTATATTGGCTGATATACCATAATGGCTAAGCCAATAAAAAGTCTTGAATTGCATTATCCAGTGATCTATTTTTAATAATGCTGATATACATAAAAACTTACTCTCTTGATTGGCTGAAAACAGCTACGTGCCTTTTTCATGTGTCACTAGTGCAAAACTCAAGTACAGATTTAAACTAGGCTCAGCAACAATGGATCACACTAGAAACCAATCAGATTTACACGACGGAGGTTGTGCTGATTGATACACACAGTAGCTGACCAAAATAAACAAGCTTGGATAATATTAATTATGAAAAACTGGACCATTGGATAATACATCTCAAGACTTTTTATTGGCTTAGCCATTATGGTATATAAGCCAATATACCATAATTTAATTTCTGTACATTGTAACATTCGGTTTCTTCTTACAAAATAAAGTCGAGAAGATATACCTGATATCCTGGGGGCGTTTTCTTTTTTTTAATGAAACAATTATTCCACTCGCGATTGTTGGATATGAGATGATTATAGCCAACTTGGCGCTACGCGCCGAGTTGACTATCTATCATCCCATATCCAACGCGCGCAAATATAATTGTTAAGTATATTGATTAACACTAACAAAATTGCATTCAGAGTAAGATTTCAGCTGAAGGACAAGTTTTGATAACATTTTAAGAGGACCATTTACATGATGATGTCAAGTTCACCTATTCATCTCATGTCTCCAGGTGGCTCGAATTTGAGAAACACACTGGCATGAGCTTACAATTTCATTGATAAGAAAACATAAAAAATAATGGTACTTTAAATTATATTATACTATCATTTACCCTCCCATACACTGAACTCTGTTATGATTAAGTAATAACTCTGATTACTGTTCCTGAAATATATTATTGCGACACTCTATGTCTGTTGAACTTTCAGTTAAATAAAACCTCTAGGTTAAATTGTAAATCATATAGATTTAAAAGTTATTATTAAATTTAGCAATATTAGTGTGATGTTACTTCAGAGTACAGTCGAAGCTCTCGTAAGGGGACACCCTCGAGACGGGATAAAAATGTTCATAACTGGAGCTGGCCGCTTACGCGGATGGTTCTCGTAAGCGGCCACTAGATGTGTAGGGGATAGAAGGCCGCTTACGGGCGCTTGCCCAGCTAACAATAAATATTAATACAAAAGTCTACAAAATATGCTTCGAAATGAAACCGGACGTGGATGACGACAAAACAAACATTGAAATATGGTACTGTAATTACTGTAAAATCATTGTGACGAACGGCAATGTAAAATGGTTGACTGATAAAAACAAGATACTGTACAGAGGTTGTTGATTTTCTTTCGGTTGTCCGCTTACGAGAGCTTAAAAACAAAAAAAAAGTCTAAGTCCAAATCCCTGAAAGTGTCCGCGGCCGCTAACGGGAATGTTCGCTTTCGAGAATGTAAAAATACAGATTTTGTATGGAAGCTAAAACGGGGTTTCAAACAAGGCGGCCGTAACTAGAGCTGTCCGCTTACGAGAGTGTCCGTTAAGAGAGCTTCGACTGTACTAGAAAACATATGGTTCACTTAAATATTGCTTATGTTCTGATCTTAATATCCACCCATTCATCTCTAAATTCTTCCATTCGCAACCCCATATCCACCTACCTCAACTGAATTTTTCTGTGTACTTTGTTGAAAATACAGTTAGTCCCAGATACAATAATTATAGTAAATGTAAATAGAAACCTACGCTTAGCATTGTGTTACTTTACATGTATGTATTGACCAAGATTGGTCATACACTACAACCTAATCAAGCTCCCAATGGCTTCTAGTGTAAATTACATCATTTTCCAAATGTTCTGGCCCTCAGTTTTGCAAGTTTTGCTATCGTACATTGGTACATAAAATGCCAAAAATATTCATATGAAATGCTTGCCCTAGAGTTAACTTACTAACTTCAGAACTCAATTCCACTTTGTTACGTAAACAAAATCATGAGTGAATTATCAGGCCGGTATGGGAGATGATGCTAACGTCTTTTTTCCGTTACTAAAATCCTCAGGTTACATGTGCAACCTACGTTGTCGAAATGAGACCTCAATAACAAACTTTGGCAATTAACCTTCAACTTAAAAATGAACATTTCAGCAATATTGTATGATAGTTATATTAGAAACAATACTGAGGACAGGAACAATATTGAAAGCAATCTAACTGTAATCAGACATCAGCTCTTCTAAAAGAAATACAGTAAGACACCAGACACCTGACACAGAAAGCAGCTCAATTTCGTAAGCCATACGTGTGCGCATTGTGGACCTATTTTATGCTTCCTCTCACAAACCATCCCCTATGAAATAAATTCGAATATGAGTAGACATGAAGGATACTTACGAAAAGAGTAGTCTTTCATCAAGATCCTCTAAAAAAGAATATGAACAAAGCCAGATTTGACGGATATTCTCTGTGTTCAAATCAATTTTTAAATCATTAGCAGAGCTATTTGTAAGCCTTGACTTCGTCAAGAAAGTGTCTACCTAAAGATAAAGATGAACGAAGCTGTAAGAATGCTACTACTCTAGCAGAAAGAAATAACAAGGTAACCGCTAACAAAAAAAGCACTCGTATCGTTGGTTTTTTGAAAGTATTCTTAAATCCTGATTCCATTTCTCGCTCAGTCTCCTATTAATTTCCTTAAAACCTGTGTCTTCAAATTGAGGCTACATTTTAATTATGACTGGTCTTTCACCGACATAAGACATGTCAGAGGTTTCCTCGCAGACTAAGCTGAAATTACGTGGACATCAATGTTATTAAGAAATTTGCCCCAAATCATCTGGTATCCTTACAGCTTTGTGAAAATCTTACGAGCTGCGCTAAAATTTAACATGTACACTCACCACCTTCTGGAAGAATATTTCTAAGATGTGGATGAATCTCTTCAAGCGCCTGCCGGAATATGTCATAGGCTCTATCACCCCTTCTAAGCAAAACTTTTAGGAACTTCTCACATCTCTTAAACTGATCCGTATCTCTTAGTATCTCTTCTTCGTCTTGTTCATTAAAAACTAAGTGGACGTTTTCTTCATTGCAGATTGATGACATCTTCAGTAAAACTTGCCCTGGATCCATGTCTTGCAACTGCTCCCTTACCTTTCTTAAATTTTCTCGTTTAGTTTTACCCATTGTTCCGTCGTCTGCATTTGCCATTCTGCTCTCATCGGCTTTGACCATGGAATTTTACAAAAGTAAAATGTGAGTTCATTAAAACCTCCTCGTCAATGTCTAAGATTTATCTCATTAACCCGGCTATGATCAGATTCCTCGCTTGAGGCCACTTATACGAGAACAAAGGAATGGAGCAGAATTAAAAATGCCAAAAATTAGGAAAAAGTTAAAAAATACTCTTATTATTATCCGAGGGTTTCTCTTTAACGTAGGCTGACTTATCTTTGGAACAGAAAACGTTTATGCTAGTCCCGTGCTTAGATTTGGCGGTATTTGTGTTCCTTCACTTTGCTTCAAGTATACCCCACCTTGTCGTCGTTAAGACGACGATCTTGTATTGAGAAAACCAAAAGAGTATACGGGGCCTATATTGAATAAACCGAGCAGTCTGGGTCCGAGTTGCTCGGCCGAGTGAGTTCTAAGTTATTCATACCGTGTAGGTGCAGGAGGGGTTAGGGTTAGCGTTAAATCACTGTAGGTGTGCGAGGGAATTTTAGGGTTAGGGTTTTTAAGGGTTAGGGTTTAGGATTTCGTGTAGGTTCGTGTGTAGGGTTTACATTTTTATAAAAACTTAACGTACAGAGGTAACAAAGGAATCCAAGATGGCGGAGGAATTATGTACAACAATGGTTTTGCATATAACAGATTTTATTGTCACACAGCATGATATTTGTTTTGTAAATAGGTGACATATGCTAGAAAAGCAGTCACCATGTCTTTGTACAATTGATGGAAAGTAGAATGTTCTCCCACGCTGGAATCATAGGTTTCAATTTCGTCAATGTATTGGACACTTGTCTGCGTATTTCGCAAAGATCTTGCGTGGTGGCTTTTTCATTTACAATGGCAAATAATTTGTCTAGGATGGCTACGGCCCATTGGGGATTCTGCTCAATATCTTCGTCCAAATGTGCTAGGAACAGTTGTTTTTCCATATGTCATTGTGTATCTAAAAGTTGAACAAGAGAGCAATGGGTGAAAACAACCGCGTAACCGCGTTATACTTTATGTTTATTGTCACACAAGACAGGGAAAAGAGAATTGACCTGCACATTACGCGTTTGGGTATCGCGGGTTAGACATTGTAGTCTAACCGACTAAGGCTGTGAGTAGAATAGGTATTTATAAGAGTCCCAAAGAGTTTTTACACGCATGTGGTACAGGTTATTCAGGACGCATGACTTTTACGTTTAAAAAATGAGTATCGTTTAAAACGCAAGTTTGGTAAACAAGAATAGACGCGCAAGATTTTTGCATATTTCACAAAAGACGGTTATTCGTCACACAACACGTTGTCATGCAAGGTCTTTAGAGCGAAGAACTTGAAAATAAGTGACATACACCAAAAATAAAGGCATCAGTTGACAGTATAACCGATGGAATGTATGTTTTTACCCACTTCTTGGTCGTAGGTTTCAATTTCCTTGATGTAGGTAGTCACTTGTTTGCGCATGAAGCCGAGATCATGTGTAGCGGTTTTTTTCTTTGACTATGGCTAATAATTAATCTAATATGGCTCCTGCCCATTGAGAGTTTTCTTTCATGTCTTTGCCCAAGTGTCTTAAAAAAGAGTTCTTTAGACGACGCCAAAAAAACGGTTATCGCACCAAACTAGTGACATGACAGAGACAGGAGGAGGAGGAATCTTACGAGCATTATAACGTACTGCTCAATCTGTAAGAGATTTACGATCGTAAGACACAGGGATTGACAAGCTGTCAAAGTGTTCGGGTAGACATTGTCGCTATAACTCTTGGCCAGTATTATAATGTCTGACTGTGTACTAAGAGAAGAAGAGATAGAGAGAGAAGCGTTTTGGCAGGACAATTTAAAAAGAATAAGAGCACCCCAGAAACCAAAGTGGACAGACGAAATATGAGTGTTTCTTATGAATGATACATAGTATCACGCAACTTCCCGTACCGGTTCTAGGACAATAGAGTATCTACACTTGAAATTTAGACGGAAATGTATGATAGATGTAGGAAGGAAACACAAAATGAAAGCGTTGAATAAATCCTGATTTATGGTTACATTGCGTAGGTTATAGGAGCGTATTTTTTTTCATAATTTTAAAAAATAAAGGTCATCTAAGATGGTGTAAAAACAATAAAAATAACGAAACCTAAAATGGTGTTTAATCCTCCCTTAGGAAAAATGATTTCAAGATAAAATGAATATTCAAAAAACCTTCATTTTAGGATAAAAGAAAAAATTGTCGTGACCAGGACTCGAACCTGGGTTATTACGGTCACTCACACGACCACACCCCTAACTCTCACCCTAAGCCCAATTCCCTAACCCTTTTAAATTTGAAAGTGGCTTCAAGAGTTTTGTAAACATTTTGAATCAGAGTCAAAGGGAAGAATTTCAGTGTGTCTTCGCCGATCGCCTTCGAACGGTCGGTTTTCAGTTCGAAAATAAGTCGCACATACAAATTATATACCTTCCTTGTTCAAGAAAAGCTAACAGTTTTTGCTAGTTTTATGAATTGTTGATTAAGGCCGCTTCTCAATCTTGGGATTCCCGAGATCTTTCGTCGAAACGAAAGTTCTCAACACCGACAGGAAAAAGTCCAGGTAGAAAGAGCTTGCGTGTCCGCTCCCCGGCACATGCAAAACCTACATCAAGCAGGGAAGCGTTGTTTGACTCGCCGACGAAAGGACAACCCTCAACTTCAGCGATGGATACAAATTTAAACATTGATGATTTGGATCCAACGTCCATCGGCTTTGCAATGTTGCGGTTAAGGGAAGTTTGAGAATGAAGACGCCATTCTTATCAAGGCCCTGAGCTTCAACAAGTGGATAGCTGCCACGAATATTCTAATTGGACATCGATTCTTGAGGGCAGAACTTCTGGAAATCACCGTTGTCCGCCATTTTCTAAAAGTTACTCGCCACGAAGACTGTTTAGTTCGAGGGTTGATTGACAACGTGTTGCTCTCAGCCAATGGGAATTTTTCGTCCATGCGAGATCGGATTTTCGTTGGTTAGTGGGGGTCTGTGGCAAGCTCTCCTTCTCCCCTTAGCACATTTCGCTCGCCCCAATCCCCCTATTCTCCCCCAGGGCTTGCTTCGCAGACTAGGATACTCTGTTTAAACACAAAATAAAAGTGGTAAAAGAGAGGCAACATAGCAAGTACATATATACAAGCACGTTTTACTCAAAACCTCCACATCTATATGTGATAAAGCGATTGCAAGAATTACAAGGAGCATAATCCAAAGACGACCTATTTGGCTCATATGATATGAACTTGCTTTACATGTGACGAAACATGACTAAAACGTGGAAACATTGCCACGGTCGCTACGCGACCGCATTCCGGACGCGCGCGCAGCAGCAGGAAAGAGGAAGAGAAGGAAAGAGTGTAAATAGAATGATCTACTATCACTTTAATAAACTGCTTTAAACTGTCACATTTGTTAGTGGTAATGTCGTACCGCGAGTGTATATGAGTCCCACGAACTGAGTAAAGTTGAGGAAAAAATGACTAGAACGAGTGAGTCCATGTGAGGAATAAATTATATTACTTGAAGAAAGAGAAGGAGGAATTAGGCGGAGGAATGAGAAGGAGGGGGAAAGAAGAGGAAGAGGAGGAGGAGGAAAGAGGAGGAGGAATAAGGAGGAGGAGGAAAGAGGAGAAGGGATGAGGAGGAGGAGGAAAGGGGAGGGGGAATGAGGAGGAGGAAGAGGAAGAGGAGGAGGAGTGAGGAGAAAGAAGAGGAGGAGGAGGAAGAAGAATAAAAAATATACGATCCCACATGAACGAAACGTACAGTTCCGTTTCGTATAGAAGAAAAATAAACATTTGTTTCTATATGAGCGCGCACTTTGAATTATTATAATTTATATTTCAAAGTGTGCCTTCTTTTAAAGTTTGTTAGACATAACGGAGAAGGATGCATACAGTATGATAAAACTCGAAGTGTCTACCTCTACACTCATTTCTTACCTGCTCACGTAGAGTGCGGACGATGGCGAGTACTCAGGATATTTCCGCGGTTCTAAAGTCGTATCGATAGAAAATGCATGCTGTTCATGCTCGCGTAAAGTATCAGGAAAATGTGCTGAAGGAATATAGAAAACATGCTGAGAATGGAACGATCCCCAAAAGATTGAAATCAATGAAAAGTAACCCTAAGATGCAAAGTCCTGATGCTCAGAAACGTGTCAATGAAGCATACCATCAAGTAGAATGTACGGTCTTAGATCAAGCGATTCAAGAGATTGAAAAGAATCTTGCCGCACACAAAGAACAATATCAATCCTTGCTACAACAGCGACAAAGTGAGCGACAAGTACTGGAAGGCAGGAAAGAAAAGACACCCAAGATATCTCACCACACACGGGTGAAAACTGAATTGGTTGAATTACAGAAAAAATACGATGAACTCTGTGCCAAGTTAAACACATTCTCAAAATCTAGCGAGAACAAAGTTATCTTACACACGGGTGAAGATGGTGTTAGTGGTGTATGAGGCGGTGATAGGTTAGGGAAAGTGGTGAGACAATAATACATAAAAAGCAGAGAATCTTACATTTTTTCATTAGTATCGCTATGACTCGAAATGGGAGTCGTGTTACCTTGACAAAGTTCTGATCGGATAATGCCACACCTTTGCCGCTACTGCAAGAGAGCATTCACGCGTTCGGATAAAGAGCGTCACGAGAAAAATTCATGTGTGAACTCAAGGGTCAATCTAAATCAATGGTTTCCTTCAAGTGTGAATACCCATTCCATTCCATCCGTGACTACAGACCCAACTCAGTCGTTCGATCTATCCCAAAGGTGGTGTGAGGGATTCAAATTCAAATCACCCAGTAGCATATTAATCGTAGGACCTTCGGGATGCGGTAAAACTTTCCTCACCAAATCATTACTGCTACAACATTTGGATGAATTGTTTGCGTCACCCCCTGCCGTCATTTACTACTGTTACGGTGCTTGTCAAGATGGATACCGTGAGATGCATCAACATGGTATAAAATT